AGTGTTCATGTTGACGTATCACAAAACAGGTACATATTTAATTCATATCAAGCATCGTCATAAAACTTCATATACTGTAGGAAACGAGAAGACTGAGGCACAAGAAGGAATGTTTATTATTGACATCTTGTACAGTAGTCCTCAAATATTATACAGTTTCCTCTAAGACAGTCATTTGCACATTGTGCTTCATTTCCCCTTCTGCTTCTATCTCGATTTGCGCTTGATACTCCCATATTGTCTCTTTTGTTGCTCTGAACAGAATGTTTACCTATTGCTGGTAATTGCCTATAATTTCTACCGCCCCCTCAACACATACTACTTATATCTATTCTAATCAACAGCACCCACTGCAATATTACTTACTAGTGGCTAAAAGTAGACAAAAATTGATTATAAATAAATTTGTATTCCTTGTTTATGCATTTAAACTTTACTTTTGATAATATTTCGAGCAAAATTATTGTCCTTAATCACAGATATATTTGAAACAGCGTTATAATTAAACAGAGGGCAAGTATGAAAGGTCTCCGTTCTCACCTTTCTTAATATGAAGGGTATATCATACAGTAAATTCTACTGTTTAAAGTCTGACTGATTTTGTTACTTGTGGTACTTCAACAAATTACTTATCAAGTAACAGTAACAGCCGGTTAAGAGTAGTCTTAACACTGAATGACTATGGTGTTCATAGACAAATTGAGTTTACATAAGAGCCAAACTATGCAAATCAGCTGAGTCTGCCCAAATAACTTAGATAGACTGCTCTACCATAAATTCGATCAATTTGTGAATTGATGGAAATCACTCATTTTCACTCTCAGGGAAATAAATGGTCAACATAAGACATACTAGACGACATTGATTTGCCAACAGCTTACTGATTGTTATTTTACACTGGAAAATCTTTCATTACCAAACGATAACAGAACTTCAATAGTACATATTATTGTAAAGAAGGTGACACTTCAAAGTGTATTGACTGATTCCGTTTGTTTGTAAAGAAAGAGTAGGTTTGTGGAAGGGTAGATAGAAAAAAAGGTTTTATCAACGTTGTCTGTCAACATAATTTAAAATAACTGAAAATGTTTCATACTTGAATATTTGATATTATCGAGAAAATTGTTTAGGAAATAAAAGTGGCAAAACAAAGCCAGGATTGCAACTTACTTGATGGAGGCTAGCAGTGGAATCTAGGACACGCGTCTCGTCCTGTTTAAGACTTATCAGCTGGATGTGCCTGCACATCAGTGAGTGGCAGTGTGATTTCACTGAGACTTGAACCTCGTACTCGTCACTTCAAATCACAATGCATTATCTACTCGACCACTGAGTCATGAAAGACACCTGTTCTGCAGTGGGTATTAGTTGTTATTGGTTGATACTTGTGATTCCGTGTTGTTATACAGGATCGAAATGGCCAAATTCTGTTGGCATATGGGCTCCTATGGGGATGTGTTGATATTACCTGAGTATTCATTGTTATAATATACTTAATGGTGGCTATTTATTCTCACTCTCATGTAACAAATACTCAGAATAAAGTATGTGAAATGACAGTGATTTGCTTACAGCTTACTGATAGTTGTAATACATTGGAAAATCCTTTTTTCGATAGCAACAACAGAAATTCAGTATTGTATGCATAATCAGAGAACAAAGAATATTCTTTCCGACAAATTCTTCTTCACATCCTACCTTTATATATATATATATATATATATATATATATATATATATATATATATATATATATATATATATACAGAGTAATTTTGCGTCAACAATATTGAGATTTCTCTTAAGAGTTCGTTCGTAATATTGTACATTTAAAGAAGTCACTTCAGGAAAATTTTGTATGAACGCTGATGTCAGAATCAACTATTATTGGGATTCCTTTCGAAGTAATCGATCATTTGAACGATTATACAGCGCATATAATACTATAAGGTGACAGTTTAACAATAATAATAACAATGATAATAATAGTGTTATTGCTTGCATTGTTTGTATACGCATCCTGGATTCCACTACTAGCCACTATCCATCTTCAAAATGATAATAATAGCTTGATAAATGTTAATCAGGCTAGGGAACCATGACAGATTAAGAGAATGTGATAAAATTATCTCTGATTACAGGGATGAAGGAATGGATATCTACTGTAGGGTGCTAAGGAGTTTGTAATTCTCAAATCGGGCTAAGATAGTTGTAATGGCAACACTTACTATTTTCGAACATACAACTTGGCTTGTCTAGTCCTGATTGCCACCGCTTCAACGGCCTGAATGACTCAGGGCCGGGGATTTTTTGGCAAGTTGGTGAGAATCCAGTAAACAATGGAAAACGATCTATTCATAACCACCTTATGGCTTTTTTGAACTATATGTGATAATATGGAACTGGTATTGGTCCTTACCACACCATTGCTAAGCCACGCTGGGAGGTGTTCTTGAGCATAGTAAATTAAATGCTTAGAGCAACAGTCAAAGTAACTGACTTCACAGGAACAGTCGAAGTGATAAACACAACAAGAAGTGACCAGTATAGGCAATTCACAGAAGTCAGCATTTCTAAGTGTATTGATTTATCCCGTTTGTTTGCAAAACAACAGTGGGGCTTACAGAAGGGCGGCGAGAAAAGTGATTTTTTCAGCGTCATCTGTCCACAGAATATGATTTGCTTAAGAAAAATTGCGTAGTTGAATATTTTGTCAATGAGAAAATCTTTTAGGAAATAAAAACAGTAAAACAAAACCAAGAGTTTTTCGCATAGTTTGTTGAAAGAAAGAAAGTTTTGGGGTTTTTTAGCCTGTAAAAATGAATATCCACACAGATCATAAGATAATGTTGTTGCTTGTATTATCCTGTCTTTTAGTGGACTGAACTAATCGGTCTCTATAGTGATATCGGAGCCGTAGTAGGGTGCCTCGTTGTTGCCTGTGTTTGAATTATATATCAGTGATGGATAACGGCTACTAGCGAAATCTAGGAGGTGCTTTCCGTCCAATGTGTGACTCATCAGCTGGATGTACCTGCCTCCCAGTGAGCGATGTTGTTCCCACTAGGACTCGGACTCGGGATCTATCGCTTTAAACATCAGAGCGTTATCCACTAGACCACCAAGTCGCAATAGCCACTTCTTATACAGTGGGTATGGTTTTATTGTTGTTGCTTGTATTATCCCTTCGTTGAGTGGACTAAATTTATTGGTCTCTGTCGGGCTCCTGTGTGGGTCCAAGTCCTGGTAGAGGTAGTATCGCTTACTGAGAGGCAGTTACATTTGGCTGACAAGTCATAAACAGAATGAAACGCGCGTCCTGGATTCCACTACTAACCACTAGCCATCATTAGTTTATGAGATACGTTGAAGGTATTTGCAACATTTTTTTTCCATTGGAAACAGAAGTGCGTTGCATTTAAATCAAATGCTCTCTTGATAAAAGTTTTAAAAGAATAATCACGCTGAAAATTTGTATTTAGGTTTCATATTTCCTGATATTCATTTTTAGGAGGGTATGTCTACAAGTCTAAGAAACATCCCAGTTTATCGTTGAAACTCTATGAGTTTTGAGATACATCTTACTAGCCGATCATAAATAGTAGGGAAATTCAGACTTGAGACTTTTGATGATGATTTAATTGGCATCAAATCTAGGTGTATCATCTAGTTATATCACACTCTTGTAATGAAATAAATATCAGTAGAAATGTTGGATGAGTGAAGAAAAACTCATATCCTTTAATAAGATACGCTTCACTTATCAGGTTATGCAATTATGGGTTGGCTAACTGGAGGTCACCTCTCTCAAGCTAAATTTTCTGTCAGTCTTAATCATTACCACTGTTTTTGAAAATTGAACTGTCAACCAAGGTTATCTCGGGTAGCTTATTTTCGACAGCTTACAAAATATTAGGCTTTAATCACCACTGTCTGTCTACAGTGTTACACAGCCTACTAACGGATGATAAGTCTTCGGGATTAAGTCTTATACTATGGTCAGAAATACTAAACAGAGCAGCTACCAAATTGGCTTTGAAGTGGTTAGTTCATATTTCCTAGTTGATATGTTTTTAAAAAGTTTCTTTCATGGTGTGACATTTTAACATTATTAGAGGACATACTTGATGGTGGCTAGCAGTGGAAGACTCGTCAATTGGATGTACCTGGATTCCGATGAGTGATGGTGTCCCCCACTGAAACGTCAACCAATAATCCACCATTTCGAACACCACTAACTTATCTATGAGGCTACAGAGACATCCAGTTCACTTTAGAACCAATGAATTTTTACCACAGTGTGTGAAGAATCAATGAAGAGTGTGTTCAGCTTGAAGAAACTGACTGTTTAGTAATAACGTCTTCTTGAGATGAACGGAGATTTTTAATTTAAAAGTAATTAACACGTTTGCCGTGAAACCGGAAGGTCCTGAGTTTAATCCCCAGCCAGGTAGTGGGTACGTACTGCTGAGGAGTCCCACACTAGGATGAAACCATTGTCCAGTACTCCCAGATTCTCAGTGGTTCCCCAAATGGTGTCAGTTCATGATGAATACTACCTCTAAGTTAAAAATCCTCGTTCACCTCAAAAAACCATAACTGTATACTGCTCATTAATAAATTACTTCCAGATGGATATCACGAAGCTGTAATGAGAAACCGTGACCTGTAGGGTCAACCAATTGGAAGTGAAGCGGATGCTAACTGAAGACCTTGGGTTATAATCGCGCTATGTCGTGAATTGACAGAAGTTGGAAATTGTGAACCACTGGAAACTGACCCAGTGGCTGAATGGTTAGCGCATTCACCGTGAAACTCGAAAGTCTTGAGTTCAACCCTATACTAGGACGAAACCGCTGTCCAATGCTCCTAGGTTTCCAATGGTTCCCCAACTGATGTCAGTCCATGATGAATACTACTTCTGAAATAACGTCTTCATTAAATATGACTTCGCTAACTTATATATCATTTTTCTCTTTGTACAATCTTTTCTCTTTCAGTACATTCCTTTATCGTTGTTCTGGCTGCCATCGATTAATTGATAAAATGGATTTAGTATTTCGTATACGTTCGCATACATTTCACCTGGATTGTTTTCGTTGTGTCATCTGTGAAAAATTATTACAACCAGGTGAAGAGATTGCTTTCAAAAATGAACAAGTTTATTGTCTATTACATTCTCATCTAACACAAAAATTTCCCAAGATCGATAATCATAATCATCATAATAATGACAGTAATAATAACAATAATGATGAGAGTAGTAATGACAATGACATTATTACTGGTAATAGTAACAGTGATATCCAAGTGTTACAGTTGATGTCAAGCAATCCATTTATGGTCAATATGACCGATAATAACGATAATAATAGCAATAATAATAATAATAATAATAATAATAATAATAATAATAATAATAATAATAATAATAATAATAATGGTAATGCTCAGGTCAATGAGGGCAGTGATTTTTGTATTACAGACCGATCATTACGAGGACAAATAGGAATGAATACTATCCTTAATGCACAGATTACTGCTTCTAATAACAATACTACTGATAACAGTAGTATAAATGTTACACAGACAAAACTTTCTAATCATTATAATGACAACTTTATAAATGATGATATAAAAAGTTTAAAGTCAGATATTAAAGGTCTTCTTCCAAATCTACTATTGAATCAAACTGATGATGTCAATCTGGTGACAATGAAATCTGCTTACTGTGGTAATAATCCTCTTAACAATAATATGAAGTTAACTCATGATATGGAAGATGGTGTCACATATGAGAATTTATGTAATCGTGTAACTCTCTTATCTTCATCAATGTCAGTATCAACAATGTCAACAATACAGAACAGTTTTAGTGATATGAATAGTATTATTAATAGTAATACTTATGGTAACAAACCTTTAAATCATCGAAACTCAATAGTCAATTCGAATAATATAATGAATGGAATGAATGAAAATTTTTGTCCTAATTCACCAGATAGTTCATTTGGTGCAGTTATCCAAGATATGGGTAAGTAAACTTCATTATTATTATTATTATTATTATTATTATTATTATTATTATTATTATTATTATTATCGTTATCATTATTATCTCTGAATTAATTAGATATGCTTCTTATGTAAATGAACATTGATTTGATGGGTTTTAATCGATTCAATCAATATTTAAGTGTAACGTAGTTTCTGTGTGTAAATCTGTTGTGGAACACATTATCACTTTGTAAATTTACTTGATGGTAGCTAGGAATGAAACCAAGGATAGACGTCTCGTCCTGTTTAGAACTCATAAACATGGAGATAGGTAGATCCATCTGATAGGTCCCATTATTATAGATCTTGTGGTAATATCGAGGCTTCTTCATTGGAATCATGGTTCAACAGAAGTCTATTGATGCACTTCAATAAAACAATGAAAAATCACAATTACCAATAAATGATAGTACCATTAGGTTTTTAAAAGGTATTCAGAGGTAGTTCATACACAAATTCCCTTTTATGAATTTGTTCTTGGTGTTTTTATATTCAGAAGTAATTTTTGAAAAATCATGAACAGGCAAAGCCTGATCATCATGAGGACAGTTACTCAACGATGACATTGGGTGGCGATTGCTCTCTATCGTGAGCTAACAGAAGTTGGAAATATAGACCACTGGATTCTGACCCAGTGGCTCAATGGTAACGTACTGGCCACGGAATCTGAAGGCCACAGGTTCGATCCCTGGCGGAGTTGTGGGTGCGCACTGTTGGGGAGTCCCATACTAGGACGAAACAGCTGTCCAGTGCTTACAGGTTTCTTTTTTTCCTCCAACTGATGTCAGTCTGTGATGAATAACAACTTGAAATACTCATTTTGTTTAATAGTAGTGTAGACTATACTTTTCGTTTTCCACATATTTATATCATCAATGTAATCGTTAGTTACATTTCTTCGTGCTGTTAAAGAAAAAGCATCAATAGTAAGCATTCATAGCATATGCCTTTAGGAGTATATAAATGAAATTTTATGAGATTATAAAGTATATAAAGCAGTAAAGTGGCTGTTTCTTAGATGCCTAAAAGGTAGTAGTTCATTTTGGAGGTTTCTCAGGATTTATTTATTGATTTCAGGGTGGTATGTATCATAGATTGACAACAGTTGGAAAAACTTTGGAAACCTGAAATCCCTTTCGTCCTAAGGTGGGACTCCTCAATAGTGCTCACCCTAGGACTTTCAGGTTCCGTGGTCAGCACGTTACCATTAAGTCAGTGAATAGGAATCTAATGGTCAGTATTCCTTATTTCTGTCAGTTCACGATATAGCACAACCTCTATCCAGTTCCATAGTTAAATAACTGTCTTCATGTTTGAATGGGTTGATCCAATGGATCATGACTTTTCAATGAGACTTTAGGAATTACCTCTGAAAGCTAGACACCAATGAACATTAGATAAGTTCAATTTAGAAGTATGTAAGGATTTATTGATTGATTTCAGGTTGATATGCATTATAGAGGCAGTGCTATATCCTGAACTGACAGAAGTAAGAAAATGGAACTTTGGATCTAGACCCAGTGATTCAATGGCAACGTGCTGGCCACGAAACCTGGAGATCCTGGGTCTGGTAGCTGTCAGAATCATGGTTGCTCACTACTGAGGAGCTGTACAGTGCTCCGAGGTTTCTGATGTTTCTCCAATTGGCGTCAGTCCATGATAAGTACCAACCTTTATTCACATATTGCTTTCCTCATGATACTTTTAACAGAATGAAGACAGATAGGTAATCAACAAAAGTGTTTTGAATTTTATTTCGTTTACCAGATTTAAAGTCTGTGCTGCCATAAATCTCATACGAATGTGAGAATTTCTTAGTGGGCGATACCTTTTGTTCTACATCTTATGCTTTCATAGGTGCAAAATGTGCTCAGGTTCACGACTAATTTGTTTGAAGGTTTAATGCTCATCTCAATAAGGAAACCACTCCACACACTTAAATGTAACCTATATACAAAATTCAGTTTTATTAGGCGGTAAACCAAAATTCTTTATTCAGAAGCCAAACTAGAAAAGAAACTTCTTTGCTACATATACTACTAACCAGTATGAATGGTTTTTATTGAGTGATTTTGATTAGTAAGTAGTATAAAACACAAATACTGTTATACATTGATGCTTTTAATTTCCCACTGCTATGCGGGATCGAACTGCTAAACTTTTGTTAGTTGGTAGGCTCCTATCCGGATACATCGATACTATCCGCACCCCCAGCTGACGGGTTCCGATTAAGATGAAAGGCGCCTTCTAGATTCGACTGTCAGCTATTAAGTATGCTACAACATAACAGAGATATGTTCTTAGTTTTCAAATTCTTTTTTCACCTTTACTTACCCCTTACCTTACAAAAGATTTGAATAAAAATGCATCTAAGTAAAATCTGTCTGTTGAAGAGAGAAAAATGCCCACCGTCTGTTCTCAATTGTCAAATAATAGGCTTGGTCAGTTAACTGAATTGTAAACCATATTAATGTGTAAAAATAATCTGTTAGTGAGGTCAACTAAGACATTAAGTAAGAGGTATATTTGTAGACAATCAAGGCAAGTATACATTTTTAATGTCTTCAGTATTAGTAAACTATAATAACCAGTAACTACTTGTCAGTCAGCCATTTGGTAAGGCGGCTACATAATGTAAATGCATTAAACACATATCCTTCCTCCTCCCTCCCCCCTTTTGTTCTTTTACTGTATTAGTATTTACATCCTTATTTGTCTTTCTTTAAATGCCTAATAACTGTTTAAAATGCTTTCATTGAATACTGCATTAACAGTAGTCGGTAATTAGCATTAATAGATAATAGTTATTTAATCTTAGTTACTGTGAGTAACTATGGTTCTAAGTAATACTGAATGCATTTAGTAAATATGCGACAATAACAGATAACGGTCATTTCTGCTTGAAACAAAGAAAGTGTCATCATTTAAATTTTTCTGTATAACCTAATTTCAATACCAGAGGTGAAATAAATTTTTTCTCAATAAAACAGTAAAAAGTAGGACCTTGAATTAACATGCTGCAGTCATAAAAAAGAGAAATTATGTTCTTCTATTTACTGGATCAAACTGCAACGCTAGGCATCATTATAAAAAAGAGTATAGAATGGCAGTCAACTCTCTACCTCAACTTCATCGACTTTGAAAAGGCCTTCGATAGCATCGACCCACAAGAAATTTGGTAGTTGCTTCAACACTACGGAGTGCCACAAATCTTTATCAACCTCATTTAACAGCTATATGAGAACGCCACATGCCAAGTGATCCAGAATGAAAAGCTCAGTAATGCCTTTGAAGTGAAGACAGGAGTAAGACAAGGCTGCCTACTATCACCCATGATCTCCCTGATTGTGGTCAACTGGACTGGATTGGATCATGCAGCAAACTGGGAGGAGCGAGAAGATGGGTATGCACTAGACCGATGAAAAGACCCCGGAAGAAGATTTGGGTTTCGCCGGTGATGACTGATTTCTGATGTCACACAAACTTGAAGATCTACAAGCGAAAACTAAGAAGTTGACAGAAGAGGCAGGGCAACGAAAACGGGACTTCAAGTGAATGTAGAGAAGACAGAGGTGATGAAGATACCCAACCAACAACAGCATCAACAACAAGCACCATTCACGATGAACGGGAGAAACCTAAAGGAAGTAATCTCTTTCACCTACCTAGACAGCGTCGTTCCAACTACAGGCGGCACAGGCACAGATGAGGATGTCAGAACCAGGATCGGAAAGACAGTAAGACAGGCTTTCATTAATCTGAAATCACTGTGGAGATCTACTGCATTGTACTCAGCATAAAGCGTGAACAACATCCAGATTCTCAACAGTAATGTCAGTCAAGTGAGTCAGTCCTTCTATGTGATGGTTGAAAGACTTGGCGGTGCCTTACAAAAAGCAGTGCCAACAAACTACAGACATACATCAACAGCTGCCACCTACGCTCACTCGCGATACTGACACTGACACTGAAGATGAGATAGATGACCAGAGAAATGAGAATAAGCGGCGAGGAACTAACTCAGTCTGGCCTGGCAGTGAACCAACCAAGAACCCATCGCCCAACAAATATGCAGAAGAGAGTGGAGATGGATTGGGCATACACTGAGAAGGCCGACTGGGGATATCACGTGCCAGACCAGGCCCTTGAGTGGAATCCAAATGGAAGACGATGAGTTGGGCGTCCGAGCCGAGGGTGACACGGAGATCATGTGAGTAAGAAATGAAAGCTTGTGGGCAGTCGTGGAGTGAGGCTGAAAAGACTTCAGAGAAGAGCGTGCAACGGAGGCGTGCAGCTGAAGCCGTATGTTCCACTGGGAACCCAAAGGGAAAATAATAATAATCCACTGGACACAAAGTAAAGTATGACCAGAATATATTAGATCGAAATATGCTGAAGGATAATGATGAAAACTTTGTGGAAATGGTAGAATTCAAATCACTAGTCACTGAGTCAATGGCCTGGCAGCAAAATGTGCTAGTCAGGTTTCACTATTCTTCCCAACAAATATCATTCCTATGCGTCTATCAACATCAGTCTCAAATACACAAAGAAGTTAACTTTGACTTAAGAAAAGGCTTTTAAAGTGGTCTTTCCGGAGTAATACTGATCTTATGGACAGAAATCATCAAGTTATTCAACACTAGTAAGCTTAAGTAAATCTGTTTTTGAGCACATAACAGGGACTTAAATTTGTGTATGGCTGACGTTTCAACAAATCCAAGTATCATCAGAAAAGACAACACGTGGATGCAGTGAAGAAATTCTTTTTATTTTCGACTAAGTCATTTACTAAGCTGTACATTCGTGAATATATGTTACAGTGGTCAGAAAGTTCCAGAATTGTTTTCGGTTAGGGGGCAAAATAGGTTAAGTAACTAAAGGAAGTAAATTAATACGCATTTGCGTTTAGAGTGGGAAAATAGACAAGGGATTATGAAATCAGGTGCGATTACGTAATGCAGAGTATGAAAATAA